GTGCCTTGTAGGAGGAGACTTTAACGCTAGACACGAATCCTTTGAGCCTACTACCACTGCAGCTAATGGAGGGATGGAGCTTGCCAGGTGGGCTGCCAACGCCTCTATGGACTATATTGGGGTGCCAGGACAGCCTACACACAGCGCTGGCCACGTCCTGGATCTCACCTTCTCTAACATCCCTTTTGCCCAGTCTGCTGTTGACGCTAGCATGCACAGCGGCTCAGACCATGAGACAATAGTGACCTCTATCCCTATCTCCACACCAGGCACTCGGCACCTAGAGCAGCACCACTACAGAGTCCCAGAGGCAAACCTACCCAAGTTCACTGGGCTAGTAGAGATAGGAGTCCAGAACATCCCAGACCTGCTGGCCACACAGGAGGCACCACAGCTCAATAAGTGTGTTAGGCTGCTCACAGAGACTATAGAGCACGCAATACAGACAGCAGGCAGAGCCGCCTGTAAGGAAGGCCGCGCTACACCTTGGTGGACAGAGGAGTGTAAAACTGCCTACCAAGTCTACAAACAGGCGCGACAGCTCTGCTCTAGCCGTCTACCTAAAGAGAGACAGACCTTCAAGACTATAGTCTAATAGGCAAAGAGACAGTACTAGAGGCATATAATTAACAACGCCAAGAATAACAAAGACCTGTTTAAGATTATTGCCTAGCATAAGCTCTCGCTAGAGAACTAAGACGCTCTGCTTGTAGTAAACAACGTGGCCATATCAGACCCCCTAGAGAAGGCAGAGGCCCTTAGAGAGGAGGTCCTCAACCAGTTTAGAGCAGAGGACGACCTCAGGCACTGCCCAGACCAGGAGAATGCAGATACCCTCCCGTGGAGCACACACATCTCACTAGAGGAATGTGAGCGAAATACAATAGGGGTCTCCAGCACCTCCCCAGGCACCAATCGCTCTACTGTGCGACTACTCCGTGCCTGCTGGGCTCAGGTTAGGGAACTTATACGAAGAATCTTCCAGCAGTGCCTTAAGCTCAACTACTTCCCAGCACAGTGGAAGCTTGCTGACGTAGCTATGATACCTAAGGCAGGGAAGACAGACCGAACGTCACCCCGCTCCTGGAGACCTATAGCGCTCCTCTCCTGCATTGGGAAGGGACTTGAACGAACAGTGGCCAGACGAATTGCGTGGACAGCCATGACCCACAATATCCTCAGTCCCCAGCATGGAGGCGCCCTACCAAAGCGCTCTGCAGCAGACCTCACCGCGGCGTTCACCCACAACACTAAAGCCGCATGGGTACTTAGAAAGCATGTTACTATAGTCACCCTAGATGTACAAGGCGCTTTTAATGCCCTCCTTAAGAACCGCCTGCTACACTAGATAGCCCAACAGGGCTAGCTACAAAGGACTATCCTCTTTGTAGACTTATTCCTTACTAACTAGAGGGTTGAAGTCCACCTTGGCTAGGTCACCACCCCTAGCTACCCTGTTGCCTGTAGCACACCCTAAGGCTCGCCTCTCTCTCCTGTCCTGTACACACTGTATCTAGCCAAGCTACTGTCTATAGATACAGAACAGAGATTTGGATATGCAGACAACATATGTCTATACTAAGCCTCACATTCTATAGACAACAACGTTAAGCTCCTAGCATTAGACCTAAGGCAGATTAGAGCATAGGGAGAGGCTAACAAGGTTACCTTTGCTCTAGAAAAGCAAGAAATGATACACCTAACTAGGCAACAAAGCAGCTACGCACCACCCTGTGTTGTAGATAAGCAGCTCACAATCCACCCTATCCTCCCGGGTGGAGAGCACAGCCAGCCAGCCCTGCGCTGGCTAGGAGTGTGGTTTAACTGCAGACTTACCTTTAGACGTTATGTAGCCACACGCACTGCAAAGGCTACTAAGGTAGCCTATCATATTCGCAGCCTTGCCAGGACTACCTATGGACCACCAGCCAGCTCCCTCCGCAAGGCCACTATTGCCTGTCTGTACCTGGGGCTTCTGTATAGGACTGAGTGCTGGTACAGAGGCCGCACTAAACCGCCACATTCACTCAGACCAGGCGGGCCACAAGAGGTCAGCGCCTACATTGGATGGCACATAGCTGCCATAGACAAGACCCTGGCCATAGCAGCGCGGGGCATTCTACCAGCGTGGAGGACAACCCCTATAGCTGCACTCTTCCGAGATGCCGGATTGCTACCAGCAGCAGTAGCACTAGAGCAAGCTAAACTCAGATTTGCAGCCTGTCTACGCACCACAGATGCAGAACACCCCCTTACTAGGCGCACACCAGTACCCATTGTAAACAGGGGCGTAAAAACAGGACAACCCCAGCGAGTTAAGACTAAAGTCTAACAGATAGCATCTCTTCTACTAGAGATTCCTAGGACTATACTTATAGCCCCTTACTACTTAACTAGCTGCTAAACAGACCTAACGCTTAGCATAGACAAGAAGACTGTAGCTAAGGCTTTTAGCTAATAGTAGGCCTAGCTCTTACTACTAGATATTACTATCTTCTTAGATAGCTTAGAACAGTATACTAAGGAAGGAGGAAAGCAGGTCACCTATGGCTTTGCAGTGTATTAAGACAGAAAACAACTCTAGACTAGACGCAGATTACTCCACCCTACCTCCCATATCTTTGACGCTAAGGCAATAGGAGCGTGGAGAGACCTCCAGCAAACTATAAGACAACCAGCGCTCCGCACCCGCCGAATCTGGCTGTGCATAGACAGCACCTCAGTGATATGGTGCCTCAGGGGCGACGCACCCCCTACCTCTTAATAGGCCTTTCTGGAGTGCCATGGTGCCATGGAGACCCACGACGTCTCTATTAAATGGGCCCCTGGACACCTGGGCATTGAAGGGAACGAGGCAGCAGATAGGCTAGCCAACCTACTAGAAGCCCAGCAGCCATCACCTGCAACTGGAAAAGCTGCCATGCCTACACTCTTAGGCATCAAGTCAGTCGCCCGCAAGATACTACGGCACACACAACAGACTTGGTGGTCTAACAAGAAGACTAAGCTCTCTGTGTGGTACAAGAGCTAGGACCTAGACTATGCGCCACGCAGCAGTCTAAAGGAGCTAGACCTACTAAGAGCCACCTTAGCCAGGCTACTCTCTATCTAATCTAGACATAGCAATTTTGCCTAGTATTATTAAAAGTACAACTATAAGGATGCAAACCTTACCTATTTATGCTAATAGGACAAGACACTAGAGCACCTTGCGCTTTGCTATAAGACCCTAGGGACCTTTAGCAGATAGCCACTTTAACTACCTATACTGCCGTCTAGCTAGGCCGATGGCCTAGCGTACACTGCAGTACTAACAAGGGAGCTAGAGGCCTTCGAAGCCTTTGTCAAACTTACACAGTACTACACCAAGATCTGCCCCCGCTAGCTCTTGCAGTCCTGCAACAGCAGCAAGCAATGCAGCACCTAGCAGTAGTAGGTCTAGCACAACAGCTGCAGTACTCCCCACCCGTCTACCTCTCTTACCCTTCCCCCTACCCCTCTCCTCCTCTCTCCCTACACGCACACACACACACACACACACACACTCCCTCTCTCTCTCTTGGCACATAGATGCCTCAAAATGCAAGGAAATCACCCTAATGTACATACATCGCTCAGCCTCCCCAACTGGACGAGGAGCTGTAGTTTTGAAATGGTAGCAATACCCACGCAGGCAAGAAATGCTTTCTAAGGTAGTGTGTTCGCACTGTAATTCTATAGCTTAGCACGTCGTATATGCCCTTCGGGAGGCGAGATGGTGGACTTTGTCCCTATTAACTAGACGTAAAATGAATACCAACCAACCAACCAAGCCGCTTAATCGCGATAAAGTACTCAAGCGCTTCCCCAAAGGAGCTGCCACTCCGTCCACCCCTCTGCCGCCTAAGGCAGGTACAACAGCACGCAAAATAATAAGGAAGTTAGACTCTGTTGTGGGCGATAGGTACTCTAATAAAGCAAGAGCTCTCCACTATAAGGTACACCACCTCGCGATTAAGAATGAGCTGCTCAACAATAACGTACAAGGCCTTACAGAGTTGCTTTTAATTAAGAAGAAGCAGGATAAGAAAAGCAAAGCGCTTACTTTAGTTAAGCTATTATTAGACTACTAGGGTGGCGCGAAGTAGTAGTCGCCTTAATTGTTTAAGGAAGCCCACCACAGAGAGCAGATTATGAAGGAGACTGCGCATGCAGAGAAGCTTGAAAAGGCTAATGTTAAAGAGCTTAAAGCTGCTAATAAGCTATACAACAACAAGATTAAAGAACAGAAGCGCGAGGCAGCTGCTGCGGCGAAGGAAGTGCGTGACCGCAAGTGCGCGGAGGAACGCGTAGCAATTAATGCTCGCAAAGCTCAAAGACTCAAGGATAAACAAGCACGCGACGCTCAAAAAGCCAGCTAATTGCCTAATAAAGGCAAGCGCAAAGCTTTAAAAGCACCTCAGGCACCTGCAGCCAAAAAGCGTCGTTCTGCGCAGCCTCGAAGTGGTGCTGTTGCTGCAGCGGCTGCTCCGCCTCGCGGCACTCACACAACCCGCAGCGGCCGCACCGCAACATTATATAAATATTGCTTTCGGCAAATGAATTGCATACATCAATTAACTGTAACACTAACAAACCTTGTGATAATTACTATCGTGGCTGTTTCTACAGCCTCATTTTGCTATGGTGCGTGAGGTGGGTGCTGCGTGCGGAACGCGGAACCGTGCGGCACGAGCTCCGGCACGGTATGGATATCGTTGCGGTCGCCTCTCGAATGCTGAATTTGCTTCACATACGGCTTGCTCCACCGCTTCTACTCCAAATGCGATCGACGTCGCAATGAGCACAACGAGGATTGCCTCACCAACATTTATCATGACGAAAATCTGTAATGAAACCCTCTGGCTAGTCTTGCTGTCTTTCCCTCGCGTACAGCACGATATTCGATCAAGGTTGCCCGACAATCGCTCAGTGCGGCGGGCTGTTAATCACCCGACCGTGCTTTGTCCTTTGCGCGGCGGTCAACGGGCACCTAATGTTTTGACGTGGGCGGCAACGCCACGACTCTTTCGACTAGATACGATAACCTGCCTGTTGCGAGCGCATCAGCACTCGGCACAACCACGATCTGTGCAAATGTTGTTGGTACTGTCATCGTTGCTGTCACATGGCGAAAGATGCTAGTCTCCAGAATCAATCTACTAACAAGAGGTCTATTATTGTTCTTTTCTTTTGTTGCTGCTTTGAATTTCACTGTTGAACTACTTGAATTCCTTCAATCCTGTACTGCGAGGGCTTTTGAACTTGACTCCTTTGATGAAGCCGAGTGACCCAGCCAAGCAGTCTGTTCAGCGTAGGCTTGCTATTCGTTCTTTTTTAGCCATTTGTTCACCTGTTTCCATATCTTTTCGCTGTTCTTTTCCATAAACATCATGTGCCCATTTCCGTGTATACCAATCTTTCCAAGCTCCATGTGGGTTGCTTTGTCGCATCCTGCCTGTTTCAGGAACTCAACAGTACAGTAATCGTAGGGCGCGTGGTAACTAGCTTCGGCTGTAACTGTAAGGATAGGTAGAGGAGCCAGGTTCGGCAGCTGTCGAGGAGCAGGGTTCTCTGCTTGCAAGATGCAGGGTATAGTTGAGTTGTCGCTGTGCGGATGGGGAGGCTGAACCGTCTGCTTTACAAGGTCGGTGACAGGGTTCGTGACGTCTGGAGCGTATTTGAGAGGGATATCTGTCAGACCCCATGCCCGAGCAGAACCAAATCCGAAGACCGCCTCCTGGAAAGTTGGCCCAGTTGGCTCCAATAGCACGAGTCCCTTGACAAGATTTGGCCGAGCGTCAGCGATAAGAATGGGCATCAACCCTCCCTGACTGTGGCCAAGTACCCATGTGGGAGCAGCTATTTTATCCAAGAGCTGAGCGCCTGCATATTGCACTGTTTGCTGTTGGTACGTGGCGTTGGAGATGAACTGCACATTAGAGGAGTAAAAATTGTCGAACGACTCATCCCCCATCATTCCTGTACCAGGCCACTGTCTGTGAAGTTTTGCTTGAGGCCATAAGTTGTACGCCTCGGGTGCTGTGAACCTTTGTTGAATGACCTCAGCTGAGTAGGTTGATGGCGCTTGTGCACCACTGCGGGGTGCCCAAGCTGACCGCCCGCGGAAGGTCTGATCTACAATGTAAACAGTGTATCCAGCGTCCAAGAAATGTGAGGTCCAGGACTCTCCGCCGTCTGGCTTGCTCAAAAAATTCGTTCCAGTTTGGCCCTGTCCATGGATCAAGACAATTGGACTTGGCTTTTGTTTTGTGCGTCGCGAGGTGACAGGTTCTAGCTTTTCCACATACATCTGATCCTTGAAGATGTGACCACCTGTACCGTCTTCTGTGTAGCCGCCACCAACATAGAAGAATGTACGGACCGCCGCAGTGTCGGTGGCGGCTGCATAATGGCCATATTGTGCAGACAGGAGACCTGCTGAGAGAGCGAGAAACCCTACGAGCATGTTGAAGACGAAGATTGTTGTCGCGAAGGTTTCGCAGGTGCTGGCTTTCTCAAATTAGAAGTTACTGAGGCCGAGATGAGGTGCAGACCACTAGTTGTTCTGATAAGTAGATATTTCGAAGCCTTGCGGGTTCTGGCTGCGGCCAATATGTGATCTTTGCAGCCTCATGCGGAATCAAATCTCCGCCAACCGTAGTTGAAATGAAGCGGTCCACTCTAGAGAATCCGCAGGTAGTTATTGGACTCCGTGCTATGATCCTGACAGCGTCATATCGATGGGCAGTAAGTGCTCCAGTGTGATTGGCATACTCATACAAAGAGTCTGTATCAAGTCATGATCTACAAGTTGAAGGGCACTCTTGTAAATAAAGACGCCAGGTTGTGCAGTAATTGAACGTCAACAAATGTCCAATCTGATGATTGTTACCAAACACAAAATGATAGTCTCTAGACTTGCTTTCTACGATTTTGCACCTTTCAGGCCCCACCACACCGACTGGCTACGTTGGAAACCAAGGCGACTATCCTTTAGATAACTTGCGCTGCTGTGCAGTATTTACTGCACACGATCGCCCTCTGCAGCGATGAACAGCAGCACACTGCACTTCACATCCAGATTTGCACTGCGCCCCTGCGTCTGATTATTGTAAGCCTATGGCGACATGGAACACCCCCTATTCCAAAACTAAACTCTTTTGGGAAATTGCGACTGCCGCTCAGGCCGACCCCATAAACACCGAAACCTCCTTCCTATAAGCTGGGTAAGGTGCTTTCTGGCCACCCGTACTTTCCGGCCACCCAACCAAATGTAACTACCTTACTTTGAATCGCGATAACTTAACCACAACGCTTATAATTGGTATACTGTACACATAGAATCAAGAGTGTAGGCTGCTGCTTCCTTAGCTGCTTTCTCAGCTTCTTTTTCTGGGTTTTTGGCAGCGTTTTCTGCCTCTTGAGCAGCAGCCAGAGCCATCGCAGCCTTGATCGCTTCAACGTTTGCAAAGCGCTCATTTGGGTCAATTTGAACGCGCTTTCTTACCCGTGTGGTCTTAGTACTATCTAGTTGATATTTGAGTCGTTGATTCTCAGCCTCTAGCCCAGCAGCTCTAGCGTTGGTGATAGCAATTGCCTTAGCTGCTTTGGTGAGAACCTCCGGGGTGCTTCGCGAGAGGTTCTCCGATCCTAGCAGCGCCTGCTGCGCGCGCTTTAGCTGCTGAGAGCTCTTTGGTGTAGCAAGTACTGCCTTAAGAAGAGCTCTGCCTTGATCTGCTGGTGGTGGTGTACTTGGGCGCCCAGTGATCTGACATGAGTTGAGTACTAGCTTTTTGTTGAACGGAACAAGGCCAGCAGCCTTCCAGCCAGCTCTTATTACTCTCTCTGAGAGCCTTTCCTCTCGTGTTAAGTTATATGAGGTACAAAGCGCTCTTTCTTGACAGGTGCTGCGTCATCTAGCGCGGAGAGCGCTCTGATCGCATCTCGATAGCTTGACTTTACCACGGAGAATGGAGCAAGATCCAGAGGCTGAAGAAGGTGCGAAGCGTGCGCAGGGAGGTAGAGAAGGTGTATCTTATTCTCCTTGCACTCCCACATAAAGTCGATAATTCTGGAGATTTATTGTAAGCCTTCTTCTTCCTCGCATCTGCGATAACCTGCTGGTTGGTACATACACCAAGTGCGACGCCAGTCTCATCAAAATTCCACACGTTCTCATAGGGTATACCCAGCATCTTTCAGGTGCGCTCAAACAGCTCCAGCCACTCGTTTATAGTGTTGTAATTAGCAGCAGTAGTACGCGCGCTCTCAATTTTCCTCCCTACTATAGAGGCGACGCGTGGATTGCGTGCAAGAAACTGAGGTATCCATCGCCTGCTAAGTGGGCGGGTGTCGCCATTCATACGGAGGATTCGGGTAGCCATCTCACGCACACGAGGGTGAGATGGAGGCTGTGCGCGTGAGTCCTCATCCAGAATCCACTGTACGAGAAATTCCTCTTGCTCCAGAGTCAATCGCTGTTGGTGGGAGTGAGCTATCGCGTGAGGTTTGCTGCCATTGAGGCGCTCTTGGAGCGACGATCGGGGAACGCCCCACTTCTTACACGCTGCGCGCTGGCTTTTTTCAACACCAGAAATAAGATCAGCGATAGCAAATTGTATAGCGGTCTCACGGGCATCCATTTTGAGCACGTGGTGGTGGGGAAAAAAGACGTTGATTAATGGTGACGCGAAGTGGTTGGACGGCCGGAAAGTACGGGTGGCCGGAAAGCACCTTACCCAGCTTAATTAATTTTTCTAGCACCTCTATCTAGTCCTTAGGGTTGTTTTGTCTAAAAAATCAGCCTGTTCTTTACGCCTTTTCCTTTGTTGTGTTGCTGTTAATGCAAGTGTCTGTTATTAAAGCAATGCCAGACGTGTACCACTGTCCTAAAAATGTCAGAGAACATCTTACATAATATAATCTTCTAATAAACAAGTTAATGCTGACGTAGATTATCACTGAGCCAGCCATATCACCAAACCAGCCATTTTCTCTTAGCACGACTAACACAAGTTAACGTACCTCACGGGCGAGTGGCCGGCCCGGGCGAGTGACCAGATTTTGTCAAGACCACACCAAACTTCATACAACCCGCGATGTCTCAACGCAAAAAGGCTTAAAGTGTCTTAAAGGAACTAGATATATAGCTTGCTATTTAGGCTCTTAAATAAGATGCGACTCTTACTATTCTATGTGCTGTAACAATCTATAAGGTGTTAGAAAGAATACTAAGATAATGACATGCTAGAACGCTCTTAAGACGCGATTGTAAGGTCAACTTAATAAAGCTAACAAGCACTAAAGAGGAGGTAATTGTGCAGCATGTTCTAAAGCTAGATAAGTAAGGATACCCACCCTAGTGTAGTAGTCTGGCCAAAGGCCAATAAAGGATATCTACTTCCTAACAACTTTTGCTAAAAAGCATGCACAAGTTAACTAGACGTCTAGTTAACTGCGTAGATAATATATATCCAGCTTTAGCCAAGCCGGCTAAGCTAATGTAACCGGCTAGCTCTAGCTCTTCTTTAGCTTTAGAGTCTAGACCGTTACAATACTTTGCTAGGTAGTGTTGATAACTTAGCTAATACTAGGTAGAATAAGCTAATTCTTTTTTTATTAGAAGGCGCAATACTAGGCGCTTCTATTGAATAATAGATTATGTAAGCGTATCTCTGCTAGTTAAGAAGCTATAAGCCAAAACGT